GTAGAGCTGGAGAGATGTCTCAGTAGTTAATGTAGAGATGCCTTCAGTGGCTGAAGCTCCTAGAAGAGAAGGTAGGTGGTACCCTCCAACACATTGGGACAGGAGACCGCTTTCTGAACATAACACCAGTAGCACAAACTTTGAGATCGACAATTAATAATTGTTCCAGCATATATATTTGGATTGTTTGGCAAAAAATCAGGTGTTTATAGGTGTGTGGGTTAATAGGGTTTTCAACTCTATTCCATTGGTCTACCTGTCTATTTTTGTGCCAATACTAAGCTGTTTTCAGGACTATAGCTCTGTAACAGAGCTTGAATAGACCCATGTCTTATAGGTTGAACACCAATTTATGGCAGACACTGTACCAGTTGCTAGTGTACAGAGATGAATGAAATAGACAGGGGGCCTATCCTTTGTGGGATTCATTGTCAAGTAGGGGCAGAATGGCTCATAAGTAGGTAAACAAATCCATCAATACCTAATTATAGGATGACAATATCCTAGAAAGGAAACAGCTATTATAAATAATGATGGGGGAAGAACAAATAATGTATCTCTTTATTAGTAAAATTGAAGGTACAATTTCAAGGGCAAAGGGAGATATACTAAGAGAGAATTCCTAATAAAGAATGGCAGTCTACCTCAATATCCAGCAATTCCTCTCTTGGGCATATACCCAAAGATGGGAATCAATCTACCTCAAGATCCAGCAATTCCTCTCTTAGGCATATACCCAAAGAATGCACATTAATACAATAAAGACATATGTTCAACTATGTTCATTGCAGCATTATTTGTGATAGCCAGAACATAGAAGCAACCTAGATGTCCCTCAACTGAAGAATGGATATAGAAAATGTGGTACATTTACACAATGGAGTACTACTCAGTGGAAAAAAACAATGGAAACTTGAAATTTGCAGGCAAATGAATGGAACAAGAAGAAACCATTCTGAGCGAGGTAACCCAATCACAAAAAGCTAAACATGGTATGTACTCACTCATATATGATTTTTAGACATAGAGTAAGGGATTACCAGTCTATAATCCACACTGTCAGAGGAGCTAGGAAACAAGGAGAAGATTGCATAGTCTCAAGAGAAGACTGCATTGTCCCTTGAAGAAGGGGAGGGGGACAAGAACTCCTGAACAAAGTGGGATCACAGGGCATGGGTGGAGAAGAAGGAGGTGGGAAAGGAAGAAGGGGAGGGGGTGGAAGAACAAGAGGACTGAGACAGGGGAGGAATAGAGGATGCAAGAAAGGAGATTCCTTGATAGAGGGAGACAGTACAGGTATGGGGAGAGGTATGGCACAGAGGAAATGTTAGGAGTTCCACAGGGATGACCTCAACTAAGAATCCAAGCAGTGGTGGAGAAGATGCCGCCTGGGAAGGTGAAGGAATGGGGGGGGATGGATATGTAAATATGAGTAGTAATTAAAGAATTAAAAAAAAAAAGAACACTGGCTGTTCTCCAGAAGACTGGGGTTCAGTTTCCATCATCCACATGGTAGCTCTCAACCATCTGTAATTCTAGTTCCAGATTATATTATATTCTCTTCTAGCACCAGTGTATGCAGGCAAACACTCAAATGCATACAAAGTAAATCTTTTTTAAAAAGAAAAAAATTGAAGGTAGATAAGGAGAGACTTAATAGATGTTTGCCATGAAAACATAGGAACCTGAGTTGAGACCACCCAGATGTTCAGCACCCACATAAAAGCTAGACATGGCAATGTATATTCATTATCTGTTACTGGGTAGGCAGAGACAAGCGGGTTTCTGGAGCTCGCTAGCCAACTATTCTAACCAAATTGGTAAGCTCCAGGTCAGTGAGAGACCAAGTCTCTAAAACTAAGATAAAACTCAACTGAGGAGGACATCCAATATCAACCTATAACCTCTACATATACAACATATACACACACACACACACACACACACACACACACACACACACACACATTGTTGTGATAATTCCTTCCTTGGGAAGGATCTCTTTATAAGGTCCCAACAATAAACCACAATATGATTCCACCGAAGTACATTCTGGGAAACCAATGAGTTTGTTAGGCTTATTTACAGAGTGAGAGGTGAGGGGTTATGGGCACCATCCTGAGTGATTCACAAGCTGTCACACAGGAAGAGGTCTGGATGCTGGCTTCCTCAAAGCCACAAAGATAGAGGCCCTTCCCTTTTTCTTTCCCAGCCTACATACTAAAGCCTCTCCCTGAGTCCTGGGCCCCGAAGCAATTAGGGCATAATTGCATACATATTACTGGGAGGCATGGTTGGAGACTCGGGTAAAGGTTCAATGACTCTCCTCACCTCTTCCTTCTGTTAGGGAATGTCAACAGTCCACAGACATAAAACATGGACACTTGCAAGCAAGCACAGCTGATCTGATGAAGATGGTAGCTGTTTTGCTCTGAGGACACACTTTTACAGCAAATAAAATGAAGGGCTACAACTCAGGAGTGAAGCACTTGACTAGTATGCAAATGGCCCTGAGTATTTTAATCCCCAGCACTGAAAAAAAATTTAAAAAAAGAAATATAGAATAGACTGTGAGAAAATACAAACCATATATCCAATAAGGAATCATTTGCTCAGAATTAGAACTCATTAATATTTTTTTTAAATCGACACACAAACCATATTTAAAAAACGAATAAAGGTTGCCCCCAGCCGAATAAAGGTTGTCAATCCATAAGGACAAAGCTCTCAACCTAACCACCAACAATCTTGTTCCTCTTAATGTTGTTGAGCATTAAGTTTCAACATGAACATTCAAAACACAGTAGAAACAGAGGGAGCCAATTCTAGAAAATGTACCTCATACTATTTGCTAACGACATAATAAAATCCAGAGAGGTCACCTTAAAAAAAAAAAAAAAAGAATAAAGGATTTGAGCAGATATTTTGGCAAAGAAACAGGAACAGGTAGGAATGACAAGAAAAAGGCCGACAGCAGCACTAGTCATTATGGAAATATTAATTGAACCCTCAATGAGCTGCTACTTCACACTCAGAGCAGTAGTAAAAATTTTAAAAATTTTAAAAATTAAAAAAAAAAAACAAATGGTGGTCTGTAGTGGTGCATGCCTTTAATCTCAGCACTTGGGAGGCAGAGGCCAGCCTGGTCTACAAAAAGTTCTGGGACAGCCAGAGCCTGTCACACAGAGAAACCTTGTCTCAAACAAACAAACAAACAAACAAACATAAAAGGTAAAGAAAACAACAAATGCTAGAATGGATGAGGAAAAACTATCAGTTGTGGGGATATAAAACAGTACAGTCACTCTGGATAATATTTTGGTAGTTTCTTGTAATATAAATATAAATATAAATTTATAATACCCTCAAAAGTTTCACTTACAAATATCTGCTCAAGAGAAACGAAAATGTCCATAGAATCTTATATGTATTATCAGAACAGCTCTCATACTGGAAATAATCCAAGTCATGAATAAACAAACAAAATACAATATATTCATATAGTGGAATATTACTTATCCATAAAAAGAATGAAGTACTGATATATACTAAACTCTGATGAACCTCAAAGTAATCTAAGTGAAAGAGACCAGTCCAAAAGGGCCACATATCATATGATTCTATTTATATGAATTTCCAGAAAAAGGCAAAGTCATGGAGGCAGCAATCAGAATAGGGGTTACCTAGGTCCAGAAGTAGGAATGAGAATTGATTATAAATGGTGGATACTAGACTACTTCTTTTCTTTATTTTTTTATGTGTGTGTGTGAATGTGTCAAAGATATGCCAAGAATGTGTGTGGAGGTCAGAGGACAACTTTTGGGAGTGAGTTCTCACCTTCCCACTTTGTTTGAGGCAGGGTCTTGCTTGTTCAAGCTAGCTAGTCCAGGATTTCTAGCCAAATTTCCTGTCTTCACCACCCATATCACTGTAGGAGAGCCAGGTTAGCAGATGCACACTACAGCATGTGGCTTTTTACATAGATTCCAGGAATCAAACTCAGTTAGTTAGGCTTGTATGACAAATGTTTCCCCTGAGCCTCCCTCCCAAATCACCTCTCGGACCCAACATTGCATTTTCAGTTAACTAAAATATTACAAAGCAGGGCTGTGATGATATTAGTACAACTCTGAGATTTTGTTAAAGTTCATTGAATTATAAACTTAAAATAAGTGAATTCAGATGGCTAATCAAGCCCATCCATTGATACTACCTAAAGACTGAGAATTCCTTTTTGTCTTGTAAGGGAAACAACACCCCCACC